TCCCCGTCAACACTTGAACTGATGGGGTTGCTACTCCCTTTTCTTCCATCTCTTGTTCCCATTTGCCCCAGCCTGTCTCCGGGCGAAATTTTTCGGTACTGACATGTTCCACATCGAAAACGGCAAGTGCAGAGCATCTCATTGGACGAGCGCATTGGCCCCGATCTGGCGTCCAAATTAATGGCAACCACTGGGCAGCGGTTGGGGCATAATCCCCATGCGCGTGCTTCAGCCGCCTGTCCACGAATCGGAGCTTGAGCGGTTCCAGATACTTGAAGTATGGCTCATGACGCGCCGGCGGCAGTGCCGAGGCGCTGTCGGGTCTCCAGGGAGGGGCGGCCCCTGGCTGCAAATTTATTGACGTATACCAAGGCAACCCGGGAACGTGGAGCCAGCCCCAGGCTCGCCCATGCAGCAACCAATGCATATCTGCCAGGCGGTTGCAAGTAATTCACCCTGACGTTTTGTTTATACGTGACAGGGGTCAGGCATTGCAAACAAGATCCGAAACCAGCCCTCACGGCATGGTATCGATTGCAAATGTACCTCCCACCGTCTGTCCACGTTCTCCTCGTGATGAGGGCCTTTCCTTCTTCGGACAGTGTGCTCTGCCCTGCATCGGCCAGTTGTTCGTCAGAAAAGATCCACGTTCCAATTGTGTCATGCGAGAAAGCGACTTCAAACGCAGACCACTCCTGTGAAAATAACACGTTCCAGATAATATGCTGTGCGGCGCGTGCATTTTGCCCCATGTCACCCCCAGAAAGACGGGGTAACTGCGCGAGGCCAAGTTCCCTGAATTGTGGGCCCACCGCCGGCTGGGGCAGCGCCCTCAGCCTGATATACCTTCGTGGATGGAGCTTCACCGTTCTTCCGCTGGCTGAGCCAGTGCGAGGGGCGTGCTCAGCATATTCCGCGGGGAACTCACGCCTCGTCGGTATCAATCTGAGATGTCCGTAATCAGGTGCGTTGCAGAATCCACTAAGCTTATTCGGGTTATTAATAGTCCCTGATCCTAGCGCGGACTCTTTGATGGTTTCTAAGGAGGTAACGTGCTGCAAATGCCCATGGCATCGCGCCATCCCAAATTCGCAGCGCGCATACATGCGTTCTATGCTGTGAGAAAAACAAGAGCGTCCTTGACACGCACGAAAGAACACTGGCATGGGCTTGGAAGCCCGTTCAGCTCTATCAATGGAGATCATTGTGTCCCCGTTTCCTCAGCAACGACTGCGTCGCGCGAGGCATCTGGGTTGAGAAAAAAACGCCAGTGCCCCATTAGTTTTGTCTCGTCCATAACCAGAATATCACCAGCCCTTCTGCCTAGAACAATTTCCCCCGATGGCAACATTGTCAGGCCATGTATTGCAGGAGCAGTAGTGGCGTGAGTGATTCCATCACTCGCCATCTTCCGAATGAGGTCGCCTACATACACCCACCCGCCCGATGATCGGGCGCATTCGGCGCAACGTCTCGCTATGCACACCGCGCACTCACCTACGAATTGCGCATGGGAGTGCGTTCGGTGGATGCACTTCTCCCAAACTCTGAGCTTCCTAGCATGGCGGACCTCTGGCCATGCCTCGACAGTTTTGCCTCCGCTGCCTCGGCTGCACCGGCAGCGTCATTCGGCAATACTAGAGGAGCAAGTGCATTGTAGGCCTCCTGGGGGGTAAAATCTGGTCTGTCACCCGGGTCAAACTCCTCTCTAGTCATCGTTCTCACCCTTCGGCTTCTTCGTCAATGGACGGGGAGTCGTGCCTGTAGTTCCTCGCGTATTCCTCACTGCACGCACTGCGTCGGCGTAGCTCGACATCGGCTGTGCCGACGGGCATCCACCTCGGTCTGGGCTTCCTCCGTCTTCGGGATCGTCGTCCGAATCAAGAAATGGCCTTCTGACTGGCCTCAACTGTCACATGGCCCATGGTCGCACTCACTAACGAGCCTGAGCCCGAGGCGAGCCCAACACGCCGGTCGGGGAGAGGATCGAGATGATGCGATGGACCAGGCGAGGTGTGGAATCGGGCATATTCTTCGTTCTTTGCAATCTCATGAGAACTTTCCCCTTCCGATTGCAAGTCGCTCATATCTTCGCTCTGTCCACGCAACGCGAACTGCGCCGCGCGTCCTGCGCCTAGATTTTCGGGGCCCGACATTCCGATGGGTATGCGATCCAAAACTTTCCCATCTCAAGATCTATGTCGATCGACGGCGGAAAGCCAGGGTGCACCGACACCAATTCAGATGGCCCTTCGGCGGAAGTTTTGGCTGTGCCATACCTTCCGCCCGAGGATTGCGCTCTGGATCTTGTCACCGAATCAACCGATGAATCCCCTTCTGTCAAGTCAAACACAGTCTCTGGTGCTTGCTTCCTGGGAAAGTTAAGAGGATTTTGTCGCCTCGTTGAGGCGCCTATACTTTCGCTACGCTCGGAAGGGCATCGATCTTCTGTTCGTCCGAGCGTTCCTTCTTGTGATCTCATGTTCTGCGAAGCTAACGGCTCTGCCGTCGCCTCGGCTGATAACCAGTCTTTTGCCTGGAAATTCAGAATCACTGCGAGATGTTCCGATAATATATCATGGTCAGTGGGCTCCGCCGATGACATGGGGAAGAAGGGATAATGCCGTCAAGCATACATTAAGGTAACACTGAAGGGAGGAGGCCGGCCCGCCGGCCGACGCACGCGCGCGCGCCGCAGGCTCGCTCCTTTTCCGTTTCTCAAGAGCCAAAGTGGTATAGGTGCGGAAGCAGAAGCAGTCAGTACGTCGGGCAGTGCGCGCAAGGAGAAAGAGCAGGCAGAGCGAAAGGTTGGTTGTGCGGAAGGGGTGCATTGACTCCTCCTCCTCCTCCGCCGCCGCCTCCTCCTCCTCCTCCTCCTCCTCCTCCTCCTCCTCCTCCTCCTCCCCCTCCTCCTCCTCCTCCTCTTCCCCTATCGTTGCCCCTCCATCCAGGGACGTCGATCGCCCCTGCGTTCGACGCCGGAGCCCCGCGCGCGCGCGCAGAGTGCCCGGCCCCCCAGGGGGGGGGGATGCCCGCCCCTGCTGCCTCCGCCGGCCAGCGGCGTCAACGCCCTGCCCGAGGGAGAGCAGGCGCGGGGCGACGAGATCTACACGTGGTTCATGTCTCATTCTTCGAAAGTTCCTTGATTTTTTTGGGGGGGCAAGATCCTTTCATGTCTAGCTGTTCTATCCTGGGCCTCTCCTTGGCCACTGGGAGGCCAAAGACAATCTGGAAACGAGCACAATTAGAAATGAGCACGATTAGAAATGAGCGACATGTACAGCCGGGGCGCTGAAGAAGGAACCCTTTTCGTTGGGGAGGCGCTCCGTGTTCCTTGATTGTTTCGCCGTTTGCCCTGGGGTTTCGATGGGAAATCAAGGTTCAGCTTGTGGAACAGAGGAGCCTCGTCCCTAATTTCGGGTGCCTGAGGTCAACGCCCCAACTGAACATGACCACTACTCCCTGGCCAGGCCCGTCTTCAGCTCCAGGCCTCCCAGATGGAGTCCGAGAAGATGGGGTCGGAGGATCGCGCCGCATCGCCGATGCATCAGCGATGCGGCTCGATGTGGAGCCCGGTTTTCCCGACGCCGACGTCGCGGATGCGTCGCCGAGATTGCCGATGCCTTTTTTCGATACATCGGCGATGCATTGGCGATGCGGCGCGATCTTTCGACCCCACCTATTCGGATATCATATGGGAGGCCTCTAATACACGCCCTCCTGGCCAAGCCAGGAGGGCGCGGCGTGTACGCCGCTGCTGGGTTTCAAACGGGCGCGGCCAGGGAGCAGCGGCTACGTAGGAGTCTCGTCGCCCTGAGGCGGCCGTTTTCGTGGCCATTTTCGCTGGCCTGGCCGCCCTGTCGGCGCTGCTGGCGGGGCCGCTGCTGGGGGCCCTGCGGACGGCATTGCCCAAGGGCTGGTACGAGAATTGGCAGAAGACGTGGTGCCTCATCCCGAAGAAGAAAATCAGGGGCAACGGCAGGGGGGAATAGGTATATAGGGTGGGCTGCATCGACCTCCAATCGCCCACTGCTCGCCGATGGGGGCCCGATAGCCCCAACCTGCCACGGAGCGTGCGGACTCGCTGTCGGGGGCCTGTCCCCGATTTGTCGGCGATGTATCGCTGATTCCAGGTCGACGCCCCCCCCCCAATGCCAGTCCCCCCATATCGCTGGCCCCCAGAAAAAGCCGCACAGACATAAACCCTCGAAGCCCCGCGCGGATTCCTGGCATCGACGCTGGGGCCCCTGGCGGCGGTGGCGCGCCGGGGAGGGGGCCCAGCGCAGGTCCAAGAAACCGGCGAGGACCTCGCGGAAAGTTCATGTCTGTGCCGCTGTTTCTTCTTCTGCCATCGGAGCCGTCTACATGGCGGCGGGCGTCGCGCACTTCACCGCCGCCGAGCCCTTCGAGGCGATCTACCCCCCGACGGGCACGTGGGGCCTCTGGTACCTCCCCGGCTCCGCGCAGTTCCACGTGGCGTGGACCGGCGTCGCGGAGCTGCTCGGCGGCGCGGGGCTCTTCCTGGGGTCTCTCGCCCTCGGCATCGCGGGCGCTCTGGGGCAGGAGCCGCCGCGCCCCCTCCGGGCCCTGCCGGCCGCGGCCGCGCTGGGGCTGTACGTGCTGACGTGGTGCGTCACGCCCGCGAACGTCTACATGTACACGCACGGCGCCATCATGACGGGCCTGACCCCTGGGGATGCGGCCATCCCGGTCGAGATCCACGCGGTCCGCGGTGCATTCCAGGTGGTGCTCCTCGGCCTGCTCTGGAACTTCTACGAGAGCAGCTGGCCGTCGGAGGACCAGCCGGCCGAGGCATGAGCTCGAGAGGGCGCAAGGCAGAGAGCTCGGGATCAATGGAGTGCGTCGTGTTGCCCTGTCGCGCCCAGTAACTCATGTGTTGCTGCTCTCCCCCTCGCCTGCCCCCCTCCGATTTTCGCGCCCCGTGTGCCGCGCCGGCAGGGGCGACAGACCACCGCCTCGCCACGAAGAGCAAAAGCGATCGCTGCTTGTCCTCAGATGGCATCCTGCCGAAGAACCCTAAACAGCATGTCCAGGGACACGGCACGGCACGGCGCGGCACTGCACAGCATGGCACAAGGCGTCATTGGCTCAGCACTCCGGCACCCGAACCCGAGCCCCTAAACGCACAAAGGTTTTAGTGCTTATTCCCCGAAGAGCCCTTGCACTAAAGAGGCGTTCCGGAGAGGGCCGTGCATTCGAGGACAGAAAGAGCTGTCATCTCTCCCTCGGTGGAAGGGCGGCAGAAGGCCGGCGGAAGTGAAGCATGCGCCCACAAGACATGAAAACGTTCTTGGGTTCAGGGCTTCCGAAATCGCCCCTCCTCCTCCTCCTCCTCCTCCTCCTCCTCCTCCTCCTCCTCCTCCGCCCAAAGGGGGTCCTGCTGCACCTCGTGAGAGCTCTGGCTGGGGCTGCATGGGCTCTCCCCGCGCGCGGGCGCCCGGTGCGCGCTGGCCCCGGGGGGATCCCGGAGTTTGTCCTGGCCGGGCGCCGCTCGTGGCCTCGCGGGTGCCCGCGGCGCTGGCGGGGGTTGCCTTGCTTTCAGATTACGCCTTACACATACGCACGTGTGTATATATATATATATGTGTGTGTATGTATAGGCACAGTATAGGTATAGCAAAGGTATAGGTAAAGGTATAGGTAGGTATGTATAGGTATGTGTAGGTCTGTCTGTGTATGTACGTCTGCATGTATGCATGCATGCATGTATGCATACATGCATGCATGTATGTATGCATGCATGCATGCATGTGTGTATGTATGTTTGGGTGTGTTTGCATGTATGTATGTGTGCATGGGTGTATGTGTATGTATGTTTGCATTTACACGCATGCATAAGCATGTATGTATATTCATGGATGTACATACGTGTATGTATATACATGCATGCATATACAAGTACGTATTGCATCGGATGTGTTGCACAGTGTTGTTGCGAATCGACCACACCACAATATTCCACCGCACACATTGCACCACACAGGGGCACCGCGTTCGTATTGCACCACATGTTGGATCCCATGAGGTGGCCACACAAAATGCAACACGTATATTCCACCGAATAGTTCGCGCAGCATCGTTTGCACCATGTGTACATATATACCTATACGACCACCCTTCGGGTGATAAGGAGGTTGTGGGGGGGGGAGAGGGGGGGAACCAACATCTGATTCAATCGATCTCATTATCGATCTCACTCAACGGGGCACCACGGGACACGTGTCGATCTCACTATAGATCTCACTACCTATACGACCACCCTTCGGGTGATAAAGAGGTTGTGGGGGGGGAGACAGGGGGAGGGAGCCAACATCTGATTCAATAGATCTCACTATCGATCTCACTCAACGGGACACCACGGGACACTTGTCGATCTCACTATAGATCTCACTATCGATCTCATTCAACGGGACACCACGGGACGCCGCGGGACACCTCTCGATCTCATTATCGGTCTCACTATCGATCTCACTACCGATCTCACTCAACGGGACACCATAGGACACCACGGGACACCTCGGGACACCACATCGATCGCACTATCGATATCACTGTCGATCTCACTATCGATCTCAACCAACGGGACACCACGGGACACCACGGGACACCTGTCGATCTCACTATCGGTCTCACTAGCGATCTCACTTTTTGGGACACCACGGGACACCTCGGGGCATCACATCGATCTCTCTATCGATCTCACTATCGATCTTATTCAAAGAGACACCACGGGACACCGCGGGACACCGCGAGCCACCGCTGGACGGGCGGGAGGGGGAGAATCATTTGTCTTGACTTCTCCCTAGCAACGGCGGACACCACGGGACACCCGCGGGACACCAGCGGGACACCGGCGGGACACCGCGGGCCACCAGCCGCCGGAGGAGAAACATTTGGTCCGGCCGCAGCCCAGCCACAGGAGAATTTCCTCTCGCCCGCCCACGCAGTTTCGCCTCGCCTGCACGCACGCACGCACGGCACGCACGACGCGAACCCGAAACCGAAATCGATTTCCCTCTAGGGGGGGGGTCTCCGTTTCATGTCGGACTCACCCCCCAACCTCGGATCGATCTCACTCAACGGGACACCACGGGGCACCGCGGGACACCTCTCGATCTCACCATCGGTCGAACTATCGATATCATTATCGATCTCACTCAACGGGACACCATAGGACACCTCGGGACACCACATCGATCTCACTATCGATGTCACTGTCGATCTCACGATTGATCTCACTCCACGGGACACCACGGGACACCTGTCGATCTCACTATCGGTCTCACTAGCGATCTCACTTTTTGGGACACCACGGGACACCTCGGGACAGCACATCGATCTCAGTACCGATCTCACTATCGATCTCTCTATCGATCTCACTATCGATCTCATTCAACGGGACACCACGGGACACCGCGGGACACCGCGAGCCACCGCTGGACGGGCGGGACGGGGAGAATCATTCTCCCTAGCAACGGCGGACACCACGGGACACCAGCGGGACACCGCGGGCCACCAGCCGCAGGGGGGGAATCGTTTGATCCGGCCGCGGCCCAGCCACAGGAGGATTTCGGGACACCGGCGGGACACCGCGGGCCACCGGCCGCCGGAGTAGAAACATTTGGTCCGGCCGCGGCCCAGCCACAGGAGGATTTCCTCTCGCCCGCACACGCAGCTTCGCCTCGCCCGCACGCACGCACGCACGGCACGCACAACACGAACCCGAAACCGAAATCGATTTCCCGCTAGGGGGTGGTCTCCGTTTCACGTCGGAGTCTCTCTCCAACCTCCGATGTATACATAAAAAGTCCACCATACATATACTGTACCACATCGCACACACGTCGAGAGTGCAAGAGCCTCTTGCTTAGGGCCCGCGCATGCTAATACTACCCGAGGCGCTTCGCGTGCGTTCACCGCCCGCCCCTTCCAGTTCTCGCCAGAAGAGGCAAAGACAGCTCGAAGACGAAATTGACACATTCCGAAAACAGGAAAAGACACCCACATTTGTGCGTTTTGTATTTCTACCCCTCCATTTCTTCGCCATCCCATCGCCGAGTGGACTCAGGCATGCAGTGTGGCTGATCGATGGCCGTTGTCAGCACCAACGCATCAGTGGCATGGACGCTAGCTTTCTGGACCTTTACTTACCCACAGCAGGAGGCAGAATTTCAAAAAGAGCCCAACATATGAACCCAAGACGGCGCGATGATGGCCCAAAAGGCGCCAACAATGGTTATTAAAAAGAGGCCAGGAAGAGCCCGAAGTGGTACAGATAACCGCTGGACCTCCTAGCGAAAGTTCGATGCTTCAAGGACTTATGAAGATGTATGAGGCGGGAGCTATTGTTGTTGTTGGTATTGTTGCTGCTGTTGTCGGTGTTGGTATTGTTGTTGATGGTTTTGTCGTTGTGGTTGTGGTTGTTGCTGCTGCTGCTGCTGATGTTGTTGTTGGTGTTGTTATTGTTGTTGCTGCTGTTGTTGTCTGGGGACCAACAACCCTCTCTGAGGCCCAGGACTTTCCATTGTAGAAAACCGTGTGCGCGCCCTGGGAGGGGCACTTTATTTGAAAATCACATCTCTTACCAGGAGGGAGGGATCCACAATATTCATTATACAAACGTGGCAGTTTAAACAAACAGCCAGATTTCACATCGCTTGTTTGTTGAAGCTCTCTTGAGTGTTCTCTTGGGGCCTTCTCGAGACTTTCTGAGGGTCTCTTGGGCCGTCTTGAGGCCCTCTTCGGTGTTCTTGTGGCCTCTCCCTCGTGCTGGAGTCCTCCTTGAGCCTGTCTCGAAGCATCTTGGGCATCCTGGAGGCCCTGGGCGGTGGACTTGGAGGCCCCGAGGGCCCCCGAGGTGCGCTGGCAAGCTCATGCCACCCCCGCCCTGTGTGGGCCCTGGAAACGGCAGGGCCGTTTTTTCACCGTTTCCGAAAAATGTCCCTTGAAAATGGAAACGGCAAAAAAAAACGGCGACCCGAAACATCAAAAAAACGGCTCCAGGATTGGACCCGGAGCCCGAACCAGTCAAAAACGGCGACGGAACCGGTAAAAAAACAGCGTCGGAACCGGCAAAAAAAAGGCAAAACGGAACCGGTAAAAAACGGCCTTGTCGTTTCCAGGGCCCACTAAGCCCCCGCCCTCTGGGTGGGACCTCGGCAGCAACACGCATCGGGGCTGTGGATTCCGCCCCCTCGGGCGCTGCAACCGACCCCCCCTCTCGGACTCCGCTGGGCGTCCCAGGCCTGCGCTTTCTGTGCCCCGCGGGGATCTGCATGCCGCTTCCCGGGGGGCTGCGCGCCACCGCCGGGGTGGTGGTGGTAGGGTGCAACCTCTTGGGAGGTTAAGTTCAGCATCGGTGCTGGTTTACCCGTTGTCGAAGACCTGCGCAATCCCGTTTCATTCCGCCTCATCCCGCTCATGTTGGCGCAATCCGGCTTAATATGGGGTTCAGTTTGGGCTAATGTGGCCCAGTGCCCTTGAAATCGGACCTGATAGCATTGAGCCGCTGTGACGAAGACCAGCAAAGCTGCTCATTCAGGTGTACACTCTACCCTGCGAGCCTACGCATTCCACCCACCAAGCAGACCTTCAACCCCAGGGTCATCGCGGTGCGAATCATTGCCATCGACAACACATGTTAGGTCGTCTCGCGCGCGTTGTTCATTAGCTCCCGGCCGCTGCCACTGTGATCTGCGTCGAAGGAGGTACAGTCAGGGCGCTGGAGTACGGACCGCTCAGGACCGTGGTCAGAAAATCCCATTCGCTCCTGACTCGGCGCTCCCTCTGGTAGCACGATGGCTGCACCTGCTTGGCTCAAGCTTCGCTCCCGCGACACGAACCGATGACTCCCTGTACGACGAAAAGTTTTTCAGAGGCAACACGTGTCTGTCACGAGACACCTCCCGGGCGTGGCGATTTCGCCAGGGGGGCAGTCCACAGATGCGTGCCGGACGTGACCCAGACAGGGTTTTCAGAT